TATGGAGAAAGGTATTCTTATACACTGTTATAAATTGGTAGAAATCATTCTGGATATGAACTCAAATATATATATTTTGAATAAACCTAGCTTTTGACCCAGCACTTCTCAGAATACATAGCACAGACAGATTTATACAAGTCCTCCAACCAGCCTCCACAGTTACCTCCTCTCAAATCTCTCCATTCCATCAAATATAAAATGGTGGTTGTATGTGATACAATCCTGTTTTGTCTTCTGTAAATGCAGATTAATGACTCTGGAAGATTCATTGCCTCCAGGTAAACAAGTAAAGGCCTCATTAATTCAGATCATTTTATTCAATTAAAACTTTCTTTTTTTTTTTGGAAGAGAAATACACAGAGAAACAAAAAAGAAAACCTGACAGGAATACTCCATATCTCTCAAATAGTTATTCATCTCTCACACTCTATTAATAGAAACCTCTGTGAAATAAAGGTACCCTCCTTTACAATGGAGTGGGAAAGCTCTGAAAAAGGAGCACCCATGCTTGTATCCCTCATTGCAGCCCACATAACCAGCAGTTAGAAGGAAGAATCCTTTCAACAAGGGAGGGCAACATGGTGCCTTTGAGAAACCACAACCTCAAACTGTTGTTCTTCTCCAATAAACTTCAGTTCAAACCAGCCCTCCCTAGGGACTCCTGGGTGGCTTAGTCGGTTAAGCGTCCAACTTTGGCCTGGGTCATGATTTTATGACTTGTGAGTTCAAGCCCCGCATCGGTCTTTGAGGGCCTGCCTTAGATTCTGTGTCTCCTTCTCTCTCTGCCCCTCCCCAACTTGTGCCCCATCTCTCTCTGTCTCTCAAAAATAAATAAATTTAAGAAAAAGTTTAAAACCACCCTCCCCAAATTTCCTCCTAAAACCTAATAAAAGCTGTCTTTCCTTTTGTCGCTTTGAATTTGCCTATGGGTCATAGCCAGTCTATCTTAAATTGCAATTCCTCTGCTATTCCCAAATAAAAAAAATTTTTTTTTTTTTAACTTAGATAAAATTACCATGTGTTCTACTCAACACATCTAGCATTGATCCAACCTGTGCTGCATTAGACATTGTTTATTCGGGACATGTGAGAGCCAATTTAACCATCCCCACAACCCTCTGAGTAAGGGCTATTATATTCAACATTCCCATTTTACAGGTGAGGAAAGGGAAAGACTTTAAGGTGTTAGATAACTTGCCCAAGGTCACACAGCTAGGTAAAGGGTGTCAAGGTTTAAGTGCAGTCTGGCTCTGAAGTCTGTACTCTTACCCACAATTCTCCATTACCACCTAAGCTGCTACACTAGCCTCCCAACTCACCTTCCAGTGTCTACATGGATCCCTCTCCAACTCTTTCTCCTAATTTTAGTTGAAAGATTTTTACAAAATAGTAATTACTGTCCACCCACCCCCACCCCACCTTGAATTGTTCAATAGCTTTCCACTGCTCTTTGCCTAAAAAAGATTCAAAGGTCAACCTATCTGGACTCAGCTAACATTTTTCTCCTCCCCCTCTGAGCTCCACCCTCACAGCCTGGGTTCAGTTCTGGAAACAGGTTGAGCTGATCCCTGCCCTCCCTCTATTCAGTTAATTTGGTTCTTCTGGTTCTTCAGATCTGACTTTCCTGACTTCCTTGATGAGATCAAAACCCTGATTGCAGCCCACCAAATGTAGGGAGCTTTTCTGCCTTTTAGGGGTCATAACTGAGTAGTTTTCATTGTTTTGGTAATATGTATAAACAAATTTAATGCATTTTAAAATCCTGTAAAGGTTATTTTATTAGGGGTGCCTGTCTGGCTTGGTCAGTAGTTGTGAGTTCGAGCCCCATATTGGGTATAGATGTTGCAGGATTTTTTACCTCAATACCTAGGATTTGTTGTCTCGCCACTTCGAAGAATGAAGAGGTGGATGTAAAATGAGCAGCAGACAAATTTATTAAATAAGATTAGAAAATAAGAATAGTAGGAAAGCTGTCTTTATAGAGGAGAGGGGACATTTCGAAAGTCCCCAACAATAGGCAAAGGTTCTTGTTTTATAAGGTTCGGGTCAGTGCCTTTTTCCCTCCACACCTCAGACCTTCTCAGGTCCCACCCTTATTGGCTGGATAACTCTGGGTGCTGGGTTGACCATTCCTGATGAGGGGTGGTCTAGGGCCATACCAGTTCCTTGTGGTTCATAGGTTTTACGGTCTACCTACTTTTAGTCAGGTCTTTTGTCAGATTCCGGAAGGAAACCTGAGAGGGAGTCGCCTGAGGGGGTTTGCTGTGGTCAGACACTCCCAGCATTGTTCGAAAATCTGTGTTTTTTCCCCACCCAGGGACCTCAGGTCCTATCCTTTCCCTCTCTTTTCCTATCATATAGAGATTATTTAAAAATAAAATTTAAGAAAAGAAGTAAGATTATATTATTAATTAATAATTGAGTTACGTAATGTCTATCCTTGTCTGCTTTTGTTCACCACTGTATCTCCTGGATACAGTGTACCTATCCATTTATTGAATACTGTTGTTCAATAAATGAATGTGAAATTCAGTTATGTATATTTCTTCGACTAAGGATGAATAGAACTTTAGGCATTGACATAAAAACATTTTAAAAAGCAGTAAACAGTTTTTCTTTTGACTACTAAATGTTCTTAAGAAATTTTACACATAAATGTATGTGTAAAAAAACTGAAAAATACAATGAACTTACATATATTAGTATTTTACTTTTGAGAAACCAAAACACAAACACATTGTATTTGCTCAAGATTGCTTATAAATTACCATCACTCCAAGCCCAACAAAAGTATTTGGCTTTTGGCTTCATTTAAGAACTCAATATTATTTCCATTTATGCTCAAATATTTTAAATTGTGCCAATCCTCTTTAAATATAGAACATCAGCTAACCTTTATTTATTCGTTTATTTTGAGAGAGAGAGAGGCAGAAAGAGAGGGAGAAGGAGAAAAATCCCAGTTACCTCGAGCCTGATGTGGGGCTCAAACTCATGAACCCTAAGATTATGAGCCTAAATTGGACACTTAACTGATTGAGCCACGCAGGTGGCCCCTAACTTGCTTTTTGTTGTTGTTGTTTTTTTTGTTTTTTAATGGTCAGTGCTATTCTTTCAGCAATTGTATTCCCCCAAATCATGATAGGTCTAAGAATTTCTAAATCATAATCTCAACACATACTCCATCTACAAATACAGAGATTATAGATTGTACCTTGCCCAGGATGAGATGTTTCAGTATCTGGGTTTGTACTTAATTTAGAATTTAGCAATGTTACCTCCACTTACACTGGAGAAGAAAGATGATTCATTCAAATACTTTATATATATTATATATTAAGTAAACCTTAACTAGTAAGTATCTACTGGTTGTTGTCTATGAGTCAGAATAAAATATTTATCAATCAAAACCTCCATATGACCTCCCAGATGATCTAGATTCTAAATACTTGCTTTCTTCTTTGGCGCTTTGGTGATTGCTCAGTCCTCAGCTACACTTCTTCTGTACTCCTGGTTCCATTTATTTACATCCTACATCCAGGTATTTCTATCCTGTGAGCCAAGTGTCACCTTCATTCTGGGTAAGAATCATTTCTTCTTCATCATTTTGGGGAACACAATGATATATAGGAAAACAAAACAAAGGCACAAAGCTGACTTTGTAACCTGACAGAGGAAGGTCTGACTCTCACAATCACTCGTTCTTTTTTTTTTTTTTTTTAAATGCTTATTTCTTTTTAAGAGAGAGAGAAAGAGCGCGCGCGCGCGCGCGAGCCCGCGCGTGCGCGCGCAAGTGGAGGAGGGGCAGAGAGACGAGGAGTCACAGAAACTGAAGCAGGCTTCAGGCTCTAAGCTGAAACTCACGACCTGAACAGCCTTCGGACGCTTAACCAAGTGAGCCACCCAGGCGCCACCCACAATCATTCGGCCCACAATCATTCGGGGGTTTTTTGTTTGTTTTAAATTTTTTTAATATTTATTTACTTTTGAGAGAGAGAGAGAGAGAGAGAGAGAGAGAGCGAGTGCGAGTGGGGGAGGGGCAGAGAGCTAGGGAGACAGAATCTGAAGCCAACTCCAGGCTCTGAGCTGTCAGCACAGAGCCCGACTCCGGGCTCGAACTCACAAACCACGAGATCATGACCTGAGGGGAAGTCGGACACTCAACCGACTGAGCCACCCAGGCGCTCCCACAATCACTCGTTCTTAATTTAGGAAATTCCCCTTCGCTTCACATTTCTGATCCTCCACAGTTTGACAGGGAGAAGCAACCTGAGCAGGAGGCATTTTCACACTGTTTTTAAAGAGAGAATCTTGACCTTGCTTAGGAGTTAGGGTCTTGAGGGGTAGAATAAAGCTCACCTAGACTTGATTTCTGGGTCTCTCACTTACTGCATCATTTAGCAAGTTACCGGTATAATTTTATACATACTTGTGTCATCCATAAATTAGAGGACAATAAAATAATGGCTGTGAACTTTTAAACCTAAAATTTGGTACATAACAAACACTCAATAGGCTTTAAAAACTACTTAATTGTTGGTAGGCAGGAAGGTGCTGGTTATTGTAAGTACAGATAGAAAGCTGGAGCTGTGACTGGTTGAGTAGCTTGCTTAAGAAATAAAATGTGTGTGGAACAAGAGGATGGTTTTGCTTTCTTCAAACCACCAGCCTGGCCCTGGAATTCTATTGTTTCCACAAGTTGCATCATTAAATGCCTTCACACATCCCATTCAGAAGTCTCTAGCAACTTTTGTTTCTGCCTTGGAATTTTTCTGAAGGAGTTGTCAGTTTCCTAAAGTCTCTTGAACTACTCTGTAATTGATTATGTTAAAAAAGCTCACAGAAAGTGGATAGGAATGGTATTATTAATTCATACAAGAGTCAAGTCATGAATATCGGCATTCACAAATTATGGGGGAGGGGGGAGGGGAGGAGAAAAAGAAGACCGCCCTTGGGTGACAGTGAGTGGGAGGAGACTTTTAAAAGAGTCTTGGGCCCAGGGCCGTTTCAGAAGTAAGGGTTTATTTTTGTCAACCTTGACTTCTCTTTGGATATGGAGAAAGCAAAAGGCAAAAAGGTAAGTACAATTTTACTGGGTTTGTTTCTATCTGTCTTTGAGAGTCTCCTCATATATTTCTCTCTCCTGCTGAGCATATTTGATTCGAATTATGAGGAGAAAAGAATGTGCCTTAGAATGTTCTCCTCTTGTTAAAAAACGAAAAAACACAGTAAAGTTCTAAATGATGATCGCAGCCTGGTATACTGGGGAGAGGAGACAGTAAGAAATGGGGTTTCCTGTTTGGGTTTGAAAAGGTGCTTTATCCTGTCCGAAAGAAGAATTAAGTAGCAGGGCTGGAGGGAAGTGGTAGCAGGAGGAAAGGGGAGGTGAGGGGAAAACTTTAGGAAGAGGTCACTGAGCTGAGGTTGGGAGAGAACTAGATCGTTTAATTTGCCTTCAACAGACATCAGTCTCCAACCAAAAGTGCTGGGTCTGAAGTTGTCTTTTCCCAGGGTCACTGGGACTAGCAGATAATCAGAAGCCAGATATATTGACAAGCCCCGCAGACGGAAATTAGAGGTAGAGAGGTTTAAGACTTCCAGAAGCATCGAACTTGCGTGCCAGGGGAACCTGAGCACTATCTAGAGTCTCTTTCTTTGGAACCATCATTTTTGCCCTTGCCATTTTGAGAGGTTTGCGAGGCCCCAAAGTGAGTAGTTTGTGTAAGGCTGTGCCAAAGTGAAATTTGAATAAGAATGTGTAGTTGCTATACAGATGTAAAATAGCATACAGATGTTAATTTGTCCTGTACTCCCTCCTTGGGGATGCTGGAAAAGATTGAGATTTAGGAGCTAATCCAGGCTTTCTTGTCTATGTGAAGTGCCTTCCTGCATGTCCTAAACTACGCGGCCTCTGAGCCTCAACTTCTGTGTCCAAAAAACAAAGTAATAAATTGTCACCAGCTTGTTGTGAGGAGTAAATGAAGATAAGAAACATGTCAACAACCCTACATAAGGTAGAGGCTCAACAAATGTTAGTTTCTCTCTCAAATCACTAATATTCCTACTGTTGTTTCTTTTGGTTCAATTAACCAATATTTATTGAGTGCCTATGATGAAAGGGAAAGAAATTCTACCCTTATAGAGCTTATAATCAGATGGAGTAACAAGCATTGACCAGATCACACAAGCAAGCGTAAATCTGCAACTGGTAAGTGGGAGGAATGAGGCAATATGTAGGAGATTTGACTTGTTCTGAAAGGTTAGAAACGGTTTCCAGAGGAATACTCGAAGTGAGATTCTGAAAGAGAGAAAGATTTAAGAATGTGATTAGAAGACGGGTGGAGGGGCTCCTGGGTGCCTCAGTCGTTGAGCCTCAGACTTCGGTGCAGGTGATGATCTTGTGGTTCAGGAGTTCAAGCCCCTGTCGGTCTCCGTGCTGACAGCTCAGAGCCTGGAGTCTGCTTTGTATTCTGTGTCTCCCTGTCTCTCTGCACCTCCCCTGCTCACACTTTGTCTCCCTCTCTTTCTCTCTCTCTCTCAAAAATAAATAAAACTTAAAAAAAAAAAAAAAGACTGAGGTGGAGTGAGTGATAACCCATCAGGCCAACAGAAACAGACTGGAAAGGAATTCTCTGGCCCTTGGGGCAATGGAGAGGCTGATATGCTGAATTAAAGACATTTGTATATCTTCAGGCTAAACACAGAAACCACTGAATGAGTATATAGAATCCTTCTGGCAATAGTAGGGGAAACTTTCTTCGGAAGAGGCTGAGAATAGAGGAATGGGGGAAGAATATCTTCAGGTGAGAGATAATGGATAGGGTGGGCAATACAAGGGCTGCCCCCACCCCCAGTAAAGAGCCTAGCTTCTTCTACTTTTGTTTGTATCCGTATTTTCTGTCTTTTCTTATATTTTCAAATTAGCCCCCCCCCCCCCCGTTTCCCCATCATTGCTTCCCCATCTTATAAGTAAACCTGGATATTAAGAAGATTTGCCACAGGAGAATCCATACTGCCAGTGGTGTGCAATGAATGCCTTGGTGCCATGGATGTGAGCAATCTCAAGGCAGGTAGTGTATGTGGTGGGTCGGGCACCCGAGGGAAAACTGACTGGCTCCTCTCTCAGCAGAATTCCACAAAGAAGTCAGGGGAAGACTATTTCGCTTGCAAATCCCAACCTGTATCAAGAGAAGCCACAGAGAAACAGCAAGCTTCTGGTGAACCAAAGTTACCAAGACCCTCAGTGAACGGGACCAAACAAAAAAGATCTATGAAAGAAGACAAAGGTAAGAACGCTACAAGTCCTCAAATCTCATTATCTTGGGTTTAAGAAGACTGAGGAACTTTTCTGAAAGAGTAGAAAAGTAGGAAAGAAAATTGGTCCTGTATTCTGAAAACCCTCCTCTTCCTTTGAGACCTAGCTTAAGTGTCATCTCCCTGAAGCCTTCTTTCAGGCACCTGTATTAAAACTGGTGTCTTCAGGTCTCCAAACTCCAACAACTTTATTGGTTCTGATCATCATTTTGCCCTCACTGGCTGCTTGGTTAAGGATCTCAATGTGCAGGGATTTAGGGAGAGACTGCTATAAATTTAAATCCACTTGAAACTCTACTTTCTTTTCTCTATTCCTTCCTTCCTTCCTTCCTTCCTTCCTTCCTTCCTTCCTTCCTTC